TTCTTTGTCTTTTATAAATTGTTTTATGCGATATAACTACAAATCATTATGAAAATTGGCTGCTTAAATGATTTTAGTTAACAATACCTTTATGCATTCATATTCATCTTGATTAACTAAAAGTAAGATTAAAATTTTTTTTCAAGTGATAAAACAATATATTTTATTTTGCCAGCTGACAACGACGGATATTAGTTTAATAGTTTTTAAAGGTGAAGCAACTGATTATTTCTGTGCAGCAATTAAAAAAAATTGGTGATTACGAATAGAGATATTTGAAATTTTAAATTCAAATGACAGTAGTCTTTTCTTCAGCAGAAAATTAGACTTTGCTGGAAGTACCTCAACGGACTTAGTTTCTCCAACAAAAAAATATATAAAAACAAACAGCAACTTTTGAGCCATCTTAGACAAAAAGCTAAACTGGAAAAACAATATAGTCCAATGCAATTAGAAGTCTGCTACCGCTCTCTACGGATGCAGAAGAGCAATAGGTAGGGAATGGAGTCTAAGCCCTAAGATTTACCGATGGATTTACGTTTAAGTAGTAAAACCAACGATCCTTTATCGCGAGATTGTGTTATGGATACCTGTAAGTATCAAATCAAATGAAATGCTGATTCACAGATAAGATTCAAATGCATTTAAGACAGTCAAATCATTGAGGCACTCGAATATATTGGATAGTATTTTGTACCAAGTTACACAGATCGATGCGTTCCAATTGTATTTACTTATGATTACTGCAGTATACGAATTCACACCAGGAAGGAATGCGTATATAATTACCACACTCCAGTTAACAGCCTGAAAATATACACGGATGGATTAAAGTTTGGGGGGAGAGTCGGTGAAGGTGCCTTCCCAAAAAACCCCCTATGGAACTATATTTCAAGCGTAAGTTACAGCTATCATGAAGACAGCAAATCAAAACGGAACCAGCTTAGAAGATCAGCATATTATTAGCAGCAATAAAAATCCCATCACCCACTTACACTAAATTCCCAAATAGTTCTGGACTGTCGCCGATCGCTACAGGAGGTGACCAAACAGAACAGACTGCTTCTCACGTGAATTCCTGTTCATTGGGGCATCAAGGGAAGCTGTCTGTGGAATGTACTTCCTAAGCAAGTTAAGACCAAGCAGATTTTTTTCGATAAAGACGCATCATTTTTGCTCTCTGATGATTAGTGCTAGTTTGCTAGTTTGAGAAATACATCTATTTTTCCACATTGTTGGGCTCGGCTGTATTTTCTACTGATTTCTATAGTATTCCCAAATTTATGTAATGTCACATAGCACTTACGGTTAAAAGAAAGTTGTATTACCTACATTTAGGCAGCTTTGATTTGATATTTAAGCTAAGTCACACACCAGTTTGCTCTAAATTTCTTACAGCGTTTAGATCAGTTAGGATATCATATTTAGTGAATTTTTGCAATAGTTTGAAGTCTAATAATTTTATTAAAGAGACTTAGCCAAATAGGGTGTTTATCACTCCCAAAACTAAGAACACTCGCTTACAAAATAAAAGCGCTAACGTGTTATTGAGCTAAAATATTTAAGTACACTTTTAACAAAAATTGTTCAACCTATAAAATTTTTGATTTCTTTATGATGGGCAAGAAGAAAGATCATTATGCTTAGCTAATAAATAATATAATAACTAATAATTCACATAATTTAATTTAGATTTAGAAATCTTTGAACCAAAATGATTTGGAGAATGCTGTTATCTATTGGAAATAATTCATTTGCGATATGTTACCGAAAGGATTATTCGAAAGTGAACTTTATCAGACCGTTGCCACATATTTGAAGAAATCAACCGGCGCTACAGAATAGCAAATCAAATTTAAGGCCAGGTTCCTCTAAAAAAAATTTTCAAAAAGTCGAGAATTTTTTTCCTGTAAATTGTTCGAGCCTAGTTTTCAAAATAACATAAAATTAGTGCGGAAGATACACAAGACCAAGGAAGTAAGTGTAGAAGAGGAGAAGCCGAGCGCGCGGTAAATGCTGCCGCTCGGATACTTTAACTGCCTTTTTCTCGAAGTATTGAACTTAGCAACATGAAACAACGGTATTTCACTTCCAAAATGTCTCTCTATGGTCCTTACTACAGCCAAAAATATTCGCGGTAGCCGAGGGGTTAGCGGTTTCAAATCCCCGTGCGATTCATTTAAATGAAAAACTAAGTTAAATTTTCTAATTGCGGTCGCCCCACGGCAGGGAATGTCAAGACCTCCGAGTGTGTTTCTGGCATGAAATAAAGGCTCCTCATAAAAAAACCCTCAGCCGTTCGGAGGCGGCTTAGTATAAACTGTAGGTCACTCCGTTTGTTGGAAAAATATCAAGACGCAAAACCACAAATCGAAGGAGTAGCTCGGTGGAAAATCGCTTAAGCGGTTACAAAGCTCAATTATATATCTTTAAAAAATTTATAAACAAGTAAAATTGAAAAAAGAGGTAAAAAAATTTCTCTTTTTTTTTGCTTTTGTTTGGTTTCATTGTAATTCCGTTCATAGGCAGTGTGATACAGAATATGAAACCGTTTTGATTTTTGCTTTCAGATGATTCACTCAAATGGACATGTTTCATTCATCAGCTATTTTAAGCCGCCATAAAACAAAATACATTTTTTTCCATTTAATATTTTTATACGTCAATATTTACAAAAACATTGCTTTATAAATTTTATTTTGAAATAAATAATTTTTTTTAAGCAGAAAAATCAATTAATTTATAAAAAAATCTATTTCAAAGTTAGTTTCACATGTTATTACAAAGCTTTCACTTCAAAAAAAAATACTATTTTTATTACAGCACTATCGGTATCTTTTATTTATATGCTAAAATGTAGGCTACGTTTTTTAATTTCTTGCTGTTTTTCACTACAAAGCATTCTCAACGGATTAAAAACTTCGCTTGAACATCAAATACATAAAAAATATATTTAAAAAAATTTTCAGCATTTTCACTGGTCATCTTTGATATAAATCTATATATATATATATATTTTTTTTTTTTTTTGAAAAATAGACTAACCTTTGGGTGACTTAATTACATGGTTTCTACATAAATTTGTCAGCGCAAAATTATTAAAAAAAAAATATTTACGTACACACATATCTATATATATTTATTAAAAGAAAAAAATAATTTTATTTTTATTACATTTTTCTATTTAAATAAATTAACAATTTAAATGCAAAGGTCAAGGAAATAAAAGCAAAATCAGTTTTATCAAAAATCAAAAAGCAATAAAATATTTTATCAAAATTATCAATAAAATAATAGCTTACGGCTCTAAAAGGTAAAACATAACGTGATTATTCTATGGAAATGACGTTAGTGTGAATATGTAAATATTAATCAGCATGTCCCTTTTGGCTATCAACTAATTGACTGGTTTTTAGTCTACATTTTCAAAACAGGTTTTTTCGAGACACTATTTCTAAAATGTCACTATTTGTAGTTTAGTGCATGGTAGTAACAAAAATATATAAAAAAATGAAATAAAAACAATCTCGAAGCATTAGTAATGCAAATTAATCATTTAATGTAGATTTTTTTTTAATTTTTTTTTTTTTGGAGTCGAAATTAATTTGGACTCTTTTTTGTATATTTTGGTCTCCAAGAGCCAAACGAAATAGTTTGAAGATATGTTTATTTGTTTTTTTTTTTTGTATATTTTATACTTGTATTTTGCATAATTTATATACGTATGTTTATACATATATAATTCTTTACTTTCATTATTCTTCTTTTTTTCTATATTTTTTTTTTCTTATTTTCTTTGACTGCTGCATTCAGTCAGACATCTCGTCTTCTATACACATTTCTAATTTATTGTTCGTACTCAAATTTATCACGTTTAAAGTGTGCGTTAAATTGCAACAACAAAATCATGTATTTTGAATTTATGTGTTTTCATTTGCTCGTATTCAATTTAATGTGCAATATATTACCGACCACTCGATAATCCAGTTTGTGCGCTCATAATTAAATTGGCTACTAGAAATCTTCGCTGAATATACCACAAGTGATTGGCGGATGCATAAAATATCGTTTTCAGTGCGTTTTGCTTAGCTGAGTGATGCTGCTTGGGGGGGGGAGAAATTAAATCTTTAATTGGCTTTGAAATAAAAAATTGACTGATCTTTTGAAATGGCAATTGATTTGTAATTAAATCAGATTTTTAATCATTTTTTTCGGTCATTTATCGATGCAGTAAATTGCTGAGATTGTGGTCGCAGTAGGCGAGAATGCGAGTGCTCGTTCGAGGTGGCTTAGAAAAAACTGTAGGCCACATATTGGAAAAATATCAAGATGCACACCACAGATCGGAGAAGGAGCTGGGCCGAAAATCGCCACAGTACCAATTTTATAAAAACCATATATATATAGTTGGCTGAGATCAAAATAAAATAATGTCGCTACTGTAAAAATTAAAAAAAAAAATTTTTTAAATAATAAATTTTTTTACTTCAAAAAATTATTATAGCCATCACTTTGTATTGCTATATTAAAAAAATATTTAAAAAAGAGTATAATATTATTAAATACAGATTTATTTAGCTATCTACAATAATATTTTTTTAATTTATTTATTTTATTACTTCAAAAAATTATTACAGTCATCACTTTATATTGCTATATTAAATAAATATTAATAAAAAGTATAATCTTATTGAATACGCTTTTATTTAGTAATATACATTTTTATTTATTTATTTTTTTTTTTTCATTTTTTTTTTTTTTTTTTTTTTTTTTTTTTTTTTTTTTTTGAACCATAAACCATTAGAAAATTCTAAACTATATCAAATTATAAATAGTATCTCGTACAAAAATGTCTCACTAAAAATGTTTATTTTTATTTAAAAAAAAATTGAAAAGAATTCTGAAAGAAAAATGTTATAGGCGCCAAAAAATCAAGCATTTAAAAACAAATAAATATTTGCCAAAATCAGTACTTTTTAGCTGTGAAAATATTTACTCACCCAATCATTTAATATGCGCATTTGAAACTCGTCACATTAAAATGTGCCAACAGGGAAATATTTTTATTTTAATTAAATTTTCAAAGCTGAAAAACTGTTGTTTATTCAACGCAAAAGCAGGCGTTGAAGTAAATATTTCAAAACTGGAAGCTTTTATCATGCAAAAGCATAATTTCTGCGTTGATTTACGTAGCGGGAAGTTTTAAAAATACACGTTTTTCAGTTTTCTGAAATTTTCCTTTTATTATTGAAATCTCATTATTATATTTTATTATTATTATTATAGCGGCAAACTATTTCAACGAAGTTTTACTGGTTTTAAAATGTAGATTTTTTTTCAAATACTAAATAGTTACTTAACAGCATGTGTTTTCTATACAAATTCCTTTTATGAATTAAATTTTAAATTTTTGCTACTACTACTGCTACTAACTACAATGTTTTATACTGACTAGCGTTTAAGCTTAATTTATATGAGCTTTTTATATTTAAGTCTTATTACCATAAATATTTTTTCATTTTTTTCATTTATTTTTTTTTTTATTACTTAGACATTTTTTAAGAAAAACATACTTATTTTAAATGCATTGAAACCCTACTTATATATTAACAGTATTATATTTTCAATTGATTCCATGAACAATTTCTATGCATTAATCCACTTAGCAATTATGTTTGCATTAAAAATCTCTCTTCGAAATTTATTCAATACGCGCACTCGAATTAAATCCTTTCTCAGTTGCCCGCGCGCTCAAATAAACGCATAAAGCACACAACTAATCCGCTATCAATTTCCACGCACTTTCACTTTCGCGCATTACAACACTTTAATCACACGCACACCTCCGTTGGCTGCGTCTCTCTGCTGGCATGCCATTCAAATTCTCAATCCATTGCACCAATTCACTATCTCGATATATCGGCTAAGTAGTAGCTTTCACATTGTTATGCGTCCTACTTACAACGAAAACAGAAAAAAAGAAAAAAAATCAGACAATAGAAATAAACACACGTCTCTTGTTGTTGTTTATGTTCGTCAACGAGATTTCAACCAAACCGTTGTTGACCTCGTCGTGTTGTTATCACACCGTCAAACGTCGTTACGTGAATTGTTGTTTCAGTTGATTTTGAGTTTTCCCGACTTTTCCGCTTTTGACGTTCGCACTGTAGCAAGTCACAAATTCAACTGAAACAATTTCCTTGCAGTACTTTCAAGTGTACTTGCTTCCCTGCGTTGTTGTACGTTCATATCCCAGCTGTCCTCCGATAAAAAGCCAAACATTTCTACAAACACGAACGCACGAAGACAGGAAAACGGCGAATGCGTTTATCGGCAGGCTGGTGTTATCGGCAAATTCCGTTTGTTGCCTTTGCATTTTGTGTTTGAATTCGCAAATTGCTTTTTCTCTGACTTTTCCATTATCAGAACATAATTTTGTTTTGTTGCGCTCACATCGCCCACGCAACCCACTTTTACCTTCCACAACAAAAATATTATTCTCACATCATTAATGCGAGACTGATAAGAGTAATGGGCAAAAGGAATGAAAATAAAAAAATCCTACGGTTTATTTTCAATCCGCAATCGACAATGTACGTTGATGCTAAAGGCAAACTTCATGCTGACTAAGCATGCCGGAATGGGATCTTAGAGAGCGAATAGATCTCTGGCAGCCAACCAACAGCAGATTGCATCTCCAGCGGTAAGTACTGCTAACCATGAGTTCAAAATGAGCAGAGCGCATAGTACAGATACTGACAACCGGATGCAATGCATACGAATGCCCTGAGGTTTACCTTACAGTGTCCTTCCTGGTCCCACTAGTCTAAGGCATATCGAACACACTGTGGACTTCGATAAAATTTCAATTCGTTTTCAGACAGTATTTAGACAACTCGGGGCAGCAACTTATCTACGACAAAAAGGTACCGGGCAGAAGATACCGTCAGCTATATAATATTTTTTACAGCCATAGTGAATCCTCAAGGGTTTGCCCTAACATTATTTGCCATTATCAAAGGAAACCGAAGAAAATTTTATGGGCACAGTGATCGATTGGGGCCTATGCTTCTCGCTAAGAAGAATAAGTGCATATTCTCAAGCGGGTTATTGCTGCAAAGCACACTCGTATACCCTCCAATTTCCACGAGTTCACCTATGGGTGCTTTTTAAACGTCCTCGCGTTTTCAACAAAAATATTCACAGTCAGGCTTAAACGGCCATCCATTGATCAACAAAGCCATTTCTACCACTCACTCTCTGATTTACAGCCGTTAAGGCATAAAAAATTGTGCTCTGGACTGCACTTTTGCCGATAAAATAAGATAACCTCTTTCATTCGAGGATATTGAAATCTTTTCTAAAAAAAAATGCATTGAAAAATGGCCCGTGAGTCCGGCAAGGGAGTCTAGAGTACTTGTAAATAGTATTATTATTATTACTGAGAAGAATAGCGCTCTCTGCCGTATTTTATTACTTTTAGGCCGATAGATTCTTATGAGGAGCTTTTTTTCATGTCAGAAATACGCACGAAGGGCTTAACACCCCCTGCCGATGTACTACCGCAAGTCTTCTTATTTACTAGCGTAGACATCTTACTTAGTTTACTGATGTAAACACCGCTTGCACGATTGGAACCAAATTTTTAACTTTGCTCCACTCACTTCATTTTTTCGCTGTTTGGCGTCAATGGGAGATGGCAGTTCCAGCCAGATCCTTCTCTACTTGCTCTTCCCACAAGAGATCTTCTCCTTCCTCTGCTTCCACCGGCGGGTACTGGATTGAAAACTTTCAAAGCTGGGTTGCTTTCATCCATCGGGACCATATTACCCCGTCGGTGTGTGGGCGCCAATTGAGGATATGTCAAAAAATTAAACCGGGGTGATTGCCAGTACTTGTCGACGGAGTTTCTCTCCCACCACAAATCTTACACCAAATTTGCACTCCTTTATACGGCTGCCATAGTAAATGCCACAAGAACATACTCGCTTTCGTCCTTGTCCCGTCCAACGCACATTTTGGACAACGGTGATGTCAGCTTTTATTCTTTCAAGTACATCAAGTACAACTAAGCATGCACTCAAAACATGATCTTGTAATAATTTGCGGTGGTCGGCACTAGAATGGGATCTCTCACCCGATTCATGTATAAATTTTTCATAAGGGCTGGTTTCTATGTGGCGGTTCTCAAACCTCTCTGGGTGAGTGGTTTTAAGGTTTGCGCACATTTCTATAGGGAGCTTCGTAGATACTGCTCTTAAGGTCAACCTCTTTCTCTGCCTCTACCGGCGGATACTGCATCGAAAACTTTCAACGTCACCCGTATATCTCGTCCGGCACATGGTTCCGTAGGCTACGAAGTTCATCGTATCCCATGCGCAGCGGACTACAAATCTTACGCAAAACCATTCTTTTTAGAACTCCTAACGGCGACTCATCAGATGCCCAGAAGTTTGACTAAATAACTTCAGATGTCAGTAACGCCGAGATATCGCTTTTATTGGGGACTGATCTGCAAAGCAAGAAGAAGACCTAAAAATGATTTTCATTATCACTGTCGAATAGCTTCCACATTATGTTAAACTGTATTCTCTTAAATAGCTGTTGTGCTCTTATCGCAGCGCTTGAACTTGCGTTGCGCATGTCCGCTCTTAGAATGGCAACTTTGTTTTTCTTTTTTTGCAACCACAAACAAAGTTTTCATATAAATATAATTGTAATTGCAACATTTTCATTTGCTTTACGCTCAGCTGTTGTTTGCACACGCCTCTCATGCCCTTCACGTCTCTCACACCTCACCGCTGAGCGCATCCGAAAGCATTCCACAGCTTACCGGCAATTTGTACCAGAGCAAAGCTGTAAATTTCCCATTGTTGTGTTTGGTCAGTACAAGCATATATGTATGAATGTAGGTATGTACATACCTGGAAAAAATATATATATTTTTTTAAAGAAAATTTATATATATATTTTTTTAAAGAAAATTTATATATATTCTCGTATGTATATCTATGAAATTGCTCATACAAATGTATATATTTTTTTATTGCCTTTTCAACATTTTAAGAGCAATTTTTTTCTTGTAGTTTTTGTTTTATGGCCAATGTTGCATTGTCTTCTTTTTGGTCAAAGTTTTGTATTTGTGGCGCTTACCCGTGTAGCAGAGCAAAGTAAGGAATTCTTTATATGTGCATATGTATGTATGTATGTATGTATGTTTGTGTGTATGTGTAAGCACTCTGTAGCAAAGTCTGCTCAACTGGTGGCATGTTGTTTGGTGGCTGTTCGGCATTGTTTGCTTTTGTTTGAGAATACAGTTTTGGCCATGTTGCTATTGTTGCTATTTCCTTGCTTGAATCAGATCTGCATGTGTGTGTGTGTATGTGTGTGTGTGATTTGTTGCAGTTGTGCTCTCAAATTCGGCTTCCACCGCAAATTTTATGAATGAAAATTTTCGACAACGTGCCACACATATGTATATATAATATATATGTATATATGTATATATATGTATGTATACATACATAAATATCTAAGTTATACAAAAGCCACAGTACTTGGGTGTGAAATAAAATAAGTCATAAAATATATTTATCTTTGTGTTTTGTATGTTTGTGTTTTTGTTGCTTTGGTTTTGGTTTATGTTGTTGTGGTTTTGTGGTGGATGTTCGTTCTCTTTTTTAGCTCTAGCTTTGTGACTCGTAATTTCATTTTGTTTTATTATATTTAATTAATGACTTTACTTAGAACAGTTATATAGCAAACATATACAAAAACATACATACATACAGCTGTTGACAGCTTATTAGAAACGATGCTTCCATTTCACAATTTGTTTTCTAATTTTATTTGAACAAATACAAAACTTAAAATCATGTTCTAAGCGATTTCTTCATTTTAGCTGTTTTTTTATTGTACGTGTATACAAAAACCTGTGAAATCCATGAATTGAGTGCGACACCTATTAAGAAAAGCAAATATTTTAGCAGAAAAAAATAATATTAAGATGCATACCATGCCTCTTACTTGCTCAAAAAGCACATCCTTTTTTAGCATATTTTTAACACTAACAACTCTTTTAACGTCACCTCAAAAGGTTCAAGTGTGGACTAGATGATGACCATTCTAAAACATTGTTGGAAATTTCGTCAAAAAAATTTTTCGTCAACTTTGCCGTGTGATTTGGTTGTTATTATTCTAGTAGGTCCCTCCATTTTGGGCCGAAAATCGCTCTAGAATAATGCTTTTATTTTTCGTTTTATACCTCTTAAGATCTAACACCAATGAGAATGGACAAAGTCAACAAGTCGTTTTCTTTGGATTCTGGTGAAATGCGGTTCCTTGCGCGCTGCTCTTCCATGAAGTCCAGCTTTGATCAAACACCGTTCTATTATTCTCTTTGATATTTGAACAGTGAATTCATCCGAGAAACACTTTTTTGGGACTCTTCCCGAGATCACTGCTATCCTGTGGTATATTCCCGTTGAAGTTTTCCGGGGCCCCTTTTTTTGCCTACGACATTTGCAATAGTGTCAAAATTCTGGATTGGCTTTGAGGCATCAATCGATCCATCTTATTTTGAGCATTTGACTTGCTCCGCAATTTGGCTGTATAACTTTCCAGCTCTACGAATGCATGCTCAAAGTGGGAAAGTAATAATAGTACTTGAAATAAACAACTACAAATTGTGGGGCATTGAGTAGTAAATAGAGTAACAAAAACAATGCAGGTGTCGTTTTTAATAAAATATTACGGTAAATTTGAAAAAATTTACTTTTACAATCAACTAGCACTTGCAAGAAGTGCACGTTTCTAATTAGTTATCAGCAACTGTACATACATATATGTATTTACAAAGGCACATATACACATTTATACGTTTAAGTAACCGAAAATAATTACTTGAAATTATTTTTATTACTTTTGGTTTTCAGTTTTATGGAATTGTCTCAGACCATATATTTTTTGAAAATTGTAAAAAAATTACAACAAGAGTTTTGGATGGTAGAAGTTATAGCTGCTAACGTAGAAACCACCACGACTTCTTTTTTCAGACACCTTTGTTCGATTTGGATTTGAACTTGGGATGCCCACAGCTCAAACCAAAGGTTATCCCATCAGGCTACATGTCCCGTTCCCTTCTTCCGTCCACAGTAGCACCTTCCAAAGCTGACATTGTTGTTGGTGTTAATGCTAATTTCAAGATAGAAAAAATTATCTACGACCTCGAAGTTATGATTGACGTGGAAACCGAGTTGCGAATACGATGATTGTTTATTTTTTTTATTGCCCTCGTTCACTACCAGACCCAAAACGCTTTGCTTCCTCGCCCAGTCTGGCGAAAGTAGAACGCACCGCGCGGTTGTTGAGCTGAATGACGGCAATATCTTCGGGGTATATCTTCTGCTGCACACTCTTATAACGATTGTACTTTCTCTATTCAGCTCTTTCTCTCCTATTATTTGTAGTAAAGCTCTCTTGGTATCACACGAGTGGTCTATCCCTGTCCTGACGGAGCTTTTGGTGTTGTTTGACGTAAGTTTACAAAGCCGTATTAGTTTTGCACAGAAACCGTATTTCATGCTGTCGAAGGCTGCCTTAAAATCGACGAAAAGGTGGTGTCTGTGGATTCTCTTTTCACGTATTTTCTCTGGAATATCACGGTGAATGTCTACACTCGATAGGACTTTTGATGCGATATTAAGGATGCTTATCGCACGGGAATTGTCGCAGACTGTTGTGACCCCCGATAATTTGTAGCTCTAACAAAACGTACTTCTTGGTAAATATGCCGGGCAAGCAGAATAGCAAGTTTAGAAGTGGTTACTGGCTAGTATTCTACCGTAACAGTAGCTATGATAGTATGTTGAAGGTATATATATATACGGCCGAGCCCCTGCTCCGATTTCTGGTTTCGCGTATTGATGTCTTCCCAACAAATGAAGGGACCTACTGTTTATACTAAGCCGCCTACGAACGGCTGATGGTTTTTTACGAGGAACCTTTATTTCATATCAGCAATACACTCGGCGGGATTGACATTCCCTGCCGAGGGGCGACCGCAATTCGAAAATTTAAATTAATTTTCTATAACTTTTGGTAGTTGGTGGCACGGGGATTTGAGCCCGGGCCTTTCGTATGGTAGTACGTAATGCGAACCGCTCGGCCACCGCGACCGCTTTTCAGAAATTTAAGAACCAAATTTTTTTTTTTTAATTTTTGAAATATTTGAGATTTAAAACCAAGTGATGTCTTCTCTTTAAAAATACATGTATATGCTAGTATATGTCCATATATATATTTATTTAAAATTCTGTTTTACTCAGGTACATTTATTCCACAGCAAATTTACACTTGACTTAGAAACGATGTCTGTAGACTACACGGCGTACGGTCTTGTAGTGATAACCATCATCTTCGAGAGTGGCAGATGGTTCCGGAGCAGATGCGGCTGGTGGTGGTGGAACATAGGTATTTTCTGGTGCAGCAGGTGCTGGTGCTGGAGCGACAGGTGCTGGTGGTGATGGTGGTGCAGGAGCGGCAACTGGTTCTGATCTTATATCCACTTCAGCTGGGGCTACTGGTGCTGGTGCTGGGGGTGCTGGCGGAATATAAGTGTTTTGTGGAGCTGATGGTGCTGGTGCTGGTGCTGGTGCTATTGGAGCTGGTAGTGCTGGTGCTGGTGCTGGTGCTGGTGCTATCGGCGCGGGTGCAGGTGCTGGGGCTGCTGGTGCTGCTGGTGGTACATAAGTATTTTGTGGCGCTATCGGCTCAGATTTAACCTCCTCATGAACCGGTGCTGGATAGTCATAACCGCTATGTGCCAAATGAGAGACATCAGCGGCGGCGTATGCCAACAAGGCGCAGAAGATGGCTACGTAGAATTTCTGCGCAAAAAAAAGTGAAATATGAATCTTAAATCTAGAGGATTTTTTCTCTTGGTTTACAGTGTAGTTCTTACCATTTTTGCTTAATTTTTCTTTCCTTGCTTTTTTTTCTGCTTTTCTTCTTTTGCTCTTGTGTTAACAGCACAGCAGACCCAATTGATTTATGCTTCTTCAACTTACTAATCGCTTATTTATATGAATTATCCGAAATATTTTTATGGAAGCGTCGCAGAGGTGTAATGACGGCGAGCCGGTCGAGTGGTTAGACGGAAGTTGAAATAATTACCATCGGTCAAACGATGTGGTTGGTGATTTCGACTATCGAAAACTCAAAATACATTAGTAAACTGTAAAAATTGACAGATGATAAATCTTATGTAGACACACACACATGCACTCGTATATATGTATTGACTATAAGGTGAGTGGTATTAGTTTTAGGCACTGATTATCAGCATGTGTAGGCTAATTGTGCGTTTAATTTGAAATTCATTGCCATTGAGAGCAGCATAGAGCACGAGAATCATAGGTAAGAAGAATATCAAGCTAAACTAAATTAGCGTTTGATAAGATTTTTCAAATAAATTATCCCCCCGCGAGCGGTTACATAGTTGAAGTTACATTTATTTGCATAAATTAACATGGAAATTGTTTTTTTTTTTTTTTTTTGTACAACAAAAGTTAAGAATGTAAAATATATTTTGATATACATAAAATATACATATAAAATAATAAAGTAAATATACAGGGTTTTCCATTAAGAGTTGTTATTTTGATTTGATTTATTCAAAGAAAAATTTAATTTTTTGCTTTAGATAATCGGATGTTTATTTCACTGTTAAGAGAAATTTGAGCCATTAATAATGGTAAACAATTACAACAAAATGGCTGCCAAGGCTACGCTTACAGTACCGTATTCTTTTGATGAAATTTTCCAACACCAAATCGCAAAGTGGCGGCTTTATGCCTACAATAGCTTCACCAATTCCATCTTTGAGGTCTTGACTCGACGTCTTTTCCCTTAAAAATTCGATGGTTCGTTGCTTGTAATTCTTTGTGTACAAAATTTCAAATAAATCTAACGGTTTCAAAATAAAGTACATTTTTTTGAATAGATCAATCTGATACAGGTGCCTACGTCATACACAGAACACACCCTCAAAGTTTGGGGTATCTACCATCAGTAGTTTAGGTTGTGGGTTGATCAGTCTGTCATTCAGGGTAATACCTTCGAGGTTCCCGCACTGTCAGATCGTCTGCCATGCAGTTAGCTGGAATGTTTTTATGTCCGGGTACCCAGTTCACAGCAGCGTTGCGTTTAGTCGAGGGTTTGTTTAAATTGCTTCAACATTTTAAAGCCACTTTTGATGTAGTTTAATGTGGCATTAAAGAGATTTTAAGATTTCAAATGAAAAAATCTCAAGCTTTCCATCAAGCTCTTCAGCCAATCGCCTGAGTAGACTATTCATCTCCAGTGAATAAACTCTCAAAAATTATGCCAAATGGCAGCTTAATGGATTCGCGTGTAAATTTTAAAAACAAAATAATGAATTTTTTATTTAATTTAATAGAATACAGATTCGCTTTGTTTTTTTTTTTTATCGGAAAAAATATATTTTATACAACAAAAACAGTTCTAAAGTAGGAAAAAGAAAAACAAATCAGAAGACATATCAAATCACAAAGCACAGAGTTACTCAATTGAGTATGAAATATTCAAACGCACATACTGAAAAGAATTCGCTTGAGGTCTGACTGTCTGCATTCGTAGTTGTATGTATGTACGAGTAAGTATGTCTGTATTTGCTCGCATCTAAGTCTTTATAGACGCCTTTTGTGAACGCACATTTGTCATAATCTCATCACCGCACTATCACTCAAAACCTATTAAGTGAGGCGCATGAGAAAAGCTCTTTTGCAGAAAGACACCACAGGGGTCGGGGCACAGCGGTTGGTGAGTGGTGCAAGCGGTTGGCTGTGGGCCTGCCTGCCAGCCTTTCTTTCTAGTGAAATTTTAGAGGGAAGCATAAATAAATAAATGAATAAAAGCAGGCATATCAAATATTAAAACAGAAATGCGCATATATATATGTATGTCCATTTATATATATATGTGTGTGTATACTTTAATATTTTTCTCAGATCTCGCTTACGTTTTTTTTTTTTTAATTTTTCTGCTATTTTTCGCACAGACATCTTACTTTAAGATACAATACCATATATAAGATATGTGAGCTTAAGGGAAAAGCTGTGGTATATACAATTACATGGAAATGTACAAACACAAACGCATACACATACATATATGCATATACACACACCTGCATTGCTGCTGCTGTCAGCTTTCATTTGCCAGCTGAGCTCAGCGTACCCATAACATTTCTACCATAGCTAGACTTAAGCCAGCCAGATCGACAGGACTCCCGCCATGTCTACACGGAGATTTCTGTATTTATTTCATTTTTCATTTTTTTCCGCCAAAAGGCACGCCATTTCAAATCTCATCTGTCTTGGGATATTTGGAAAACACATGTTTTCCACTAAACTTGCCAAGCTGTGTGTATGTGTAAGTGTGTGTGTGTGTGTGAGTGTGTGGAAGTAGGACCGTTATTGTATTAAGTGCGGCCGTTATTGTTGTTGTGGTTGTTGATACTTCATGCCAACCTAGACAAACAATTTGCAACGCCTAATGCCGTCCATCAACAAGGAATAGGTGGTACACATGAGAAGGAAGGCAAGAAAACTAGTGATAGTAAATGGAATTTATAAAATAATATATGATGCAGAAAAACAAAGTCTAGTTACCGCAAAATGTTGACAAGTGACAACCGCAAAAACGGAATTACATACTGAGGCATAAACGCATACATATGTATGTACATATGAGTCATATGAGTCTTTATATAAATTCATATGTCGGCTATTTGTCAGGCAGTGGCGTGGTGACACTAGATGACATCCTCCGGACTAAACAAAAACAAATAGTAAAATAAAAATAAAAAAAAATAAACTAAAATCATCTTCATTGCAAATATAACAAAATCAAAGTTAAATCAAAATGAGCTGAACCTGCAAAAAATACAATTAAGTAAAATGGAAAATTAAAAAAAAAAATTAAAAAGAAAAAATAAAATAAAAAAATAAAAAAATTAAAAATTAAGTAAAAGTAAAAAAAAGAATAAAAAAAATTAAACAAAATCAAATAATTTTAAATTAAATTAAATGAAATTACATTAAATAAGACTGAATAAATAAATTAAAATTAACAAAATAATATAAAACTAAAAATGAAAAAACAAACAAAAATGAAAAAAATTAATAAAATAAAGTAAGCTAAAATAAAATTAAAAAATAAAATTAATTAAAATAAACGAAAGGAAAATAAAATAAAATTAAATTAAAATAATTAAAATAAAACTTAATCAAGTGAAATAAATCAACGTTAAAAAAATTAATTAGGTTAAATAAACATAATAAAGTTAAACAAAATTCAGTAAAATACAAACTTATAATATCAAATAAATATGTTTAAAATAGTATAAAGCAAAATAAAATAAACAAACAGTGAGTAAACAAAAGAATATATTTTATTGAAAAGAATTATAAAATAAAAACAAAATAAATAATTTGAAACTAAGCTAGCTAAAATGTAATGCTTAATAAAATACAAGCAAAATAAATAAAATGATAAAGTTAAAATAAAATCAAATGGCGATAAAAGCAAAAAGAAATAAAATTAAAAAATAATAATAAACAAAATGAATTGAATTAAAATATAACTATTAAAAAAGATAAAATAATTTAAAATAACAAAACAAAATGAATTAAAAAAAAATTTATCCAACTAAATTAAATCAATTCAAAACAAAAAAGATTTGTAAATTTATGAAATAAATAATATAATATTAAAATAAAGCAAAATGAAATTAAAATAAGTTATTGTATTATAGGAAAGGAAAACGTTGAAAATAAAATGTTATAACTTAAAATAAAAAGAAGACTATAAAATATAAAAAATAAAAGAACAATTAATCAAATTAAAAAAAGAAAATGCAACTAATTAAAATCAAATAAAAATTAAAAATAAATAAAACTAAACTAAATTAAATTGAGTCAAATCAACTCAAATTATATTAAATAAAGAACTGAATAAAATGAAGAAAATTAAATTAAATTAAAAAATAAATATAAATAAATTGAATATAAAATAAATTTGTTCAAAACAAAACAAAATAAACTTATTATCAGTAAACAAAAGTATATAAATAAATGAAACAAGTACTAAAAAAAATAATAAAAATGATTTGGAATAAAATATAACAAATAAAAAAATAGAAAAAGTTATTTAGACTAAAATAAATCAAATTTAATAAGCTTAAATCAGATAAAAAACAAAATTTTAAATATATGAAGCAAAATAGAATATAATATTATACAATAATAAATCAAAATAAAATAAAATAAAAATTTAATAGCTTATATGAATGTAAAAAAGTAGAAATTAAATATAAAAAGTAAAATAAAATTAAAAAAAGTCAAATAAAAGAAATGTAAAAGCACAAATCATCAAATTAAAATAAAATAAAACTAATTGAAACAAAAAAATTTAGCATAATTAACTAAAATTTAACTAAATTAAATTAAATCGAAGCAACCCAAGCTAAAAAAATATAATAAATAAATTAAGTAAACTAAAACGAAATAAAATTAAGTAACATTAAATTAAATTAAATAAACATATTAAAATAAATTGAATAAAACAAAGCAAAATCTAAAAAAAATCTAAAAAAAAATAAAAAAACAAGCAAATGAGTTTAAAATAATATAAAGCAAAATAAAATATACAAAAAAAAATATTAAAAAAATAATAATAATGAATTGGAATGAAATATAACAAACCTGTTAAGTCAGGATCGGTTGGTTCTCGATCACTGCCATAAGAAGTCTGATAAGGAGATAAAGTGATCTCCGAAGCTGCTGTCACTTCTACCATTTTTTCTTTGTTGTATAACAAATATTCAATTCATACAAACAACAAGGCCCCGTAGTTTACTTAACAAAAATTAATATAAAAAGTTATTTAAACTAAATTAAATCAAACTCAATAAGCTCAAAACAAATAAAAAAAACAAAAAATGTTTAAATATATGAAACAAA